TATAAACCCTACCAACACATCTGTTGGCAGTGGGAGAGAGGCGGTGGAGTTTTGAGAGAGAGAGAGAGAGAGTGATGTGACATAAAATATAGAAATTATACTTCACATCACAGACTGTGGACAGTGAATGTCGTGAATTTTTGGCACAGTGTACATCGGCGCATGTTCAATGTGGTAGAAATCTCCATGAAAACTGAACGTGCTAGTGAGAAAAAAGCGTATGACACAAAGCTATCGTATGGTAAAAGATTAATAAGTGTTTAGTAGGTATTAAGGGTGTAAAGCTGATCAGATAGAGAAAAGGCATTATTCTTGCTGTGAATAATTTCCTGTAACGTTTTAACACAAGGTACATCGGCGCATATCTATTAGGGTCGATCTTACGAATACGGCTACAGTAAGTGATACGGAAAAGGCAGTTCTTGATAGAATGGAAGTGTACCAGGTATACGGCGAACATGATATATGTAGGGGTGTTGACAGTGAGACACAATCTGGAAGGAACCGAAAACAGGCGCGGAAACGATTGTGAATTAATTACTCGGAGCAAATTTTTGTGACGGTTTAACACATCTAAATCGTTTTGATCGATCACGCTATGCAAGAGATACTGTGAATCATAGGGAGCTTCGTCGCACGACAAATGTAGTACTGGATAGTCTCAATGGCATGTAAGGTATCCAGAGAAAATCAGACGCGGATATGACAAACCAAGAACGGAGTCAACTTTTTGACGCACGATTTGTTCACTCCTATTAGTATATAGTAGAGAGTAGAGATTCATATCTCATCTTTTGATTCATATCTCGTTCGCCTTTATGCAATTTGCATGAATTGTGTTGGACGGTGGTCGTGGTCCACGACTCGTGGTGTCACTATCGTGATCCATTGAGAAGTAGCAAGACAGCAAGGCTGACTATCGATCGTACTCATAGCTATGGACCATAGCCTATGGTCATAAAGTCAGATCTCCTTTGGTCGTCTCTCATCGGTCTATTGTTGACCACAATCCCTTCTCAATATACAAGATATCAGTATCACAATGGTCAAGACTGGTGTTAGTACTCGTCAAGGTGGAAAGAAGAACGGTCAGGAAGGATTATCTACATCCCCACTGGTGGATACCCCTATTCCCTCATCACGTGTGACACCAACACGACAGTGGAGGTTAGCCGGGAAACGGGGAGGAACCCGAAAACCAAGCCCAAAAAACATCAAACACCAAAACCCAAGAATTTTCAAGCTGTTGAAAATATTCTCCTTCTTCTTGTTGGAGGTAGAACCAGGGCATTTGAGGCGATTGAGGAAGAAAGCGGCATTGTTACGAAGCGAAACAGTATATAAGACCGTTGATTTGTCAACGCGATTGGCAAATCTTGTTGAACGGACAAAGATTCAACGAACATTCTAATCAACGGGCGTACATTGCCCGAAGCAATATTCAGTGACACTATTTTCAGATCACCTCTTCTTTTTGGCTGATGGCCCTGAACCTCCTTCCTCTTCCTCCTCGAATTGTAACTGTCGTCGTAGGCCTTGCACTCTTTGTAGCCGAGCTCTTTCCCTTTTTTCCGGCTCCGCTGGCGCTTCCGCCCGTGCTGCTGTTGCCACACTCGGTTGTTGGACCGGTGTTGCAAAACCGCCTACTGGTTCATTATCAGGTTCTCTGTCTGGGAGGGCAATAGGTTCATCAACAGCTTCTCTATCTGGAAGGGCGATTACCCCACCAGCTTCAGGTTGCTGTTGTATCTGGAAATCAGTGAAGAAGTATCACAAAGGAAGTACGATGCCACTCATTAGTTCACACAAACTTACCAGCGGTTCCACCTGAGCTTGTTGAGCAGGTCGAGGTGGTTGTTGAAAGCGCATTGGAGCCGGTGGTTGACCGGCTGGTTGACGAGCTGCTTGTTGAAAAGGCGGTTGACGAGGTGCTTGTTGAGGAGGTGCTTGTTGAAAAGGCGGTTGACGAGGTGCTTGTTGAGGAGGTGCTTGTTGAGGAGGCGGTTGAGGAGGCGGTTGAGGAGGTGCTCGAGGAGGCGGTTGAGGAGGCGGTTGAGGAGGTACATGAGGAGGCGGTTGAGGAGGTGGTTGAGGAGGTACATGAGGAGGCGGTTGAGGAGGTGGTTGCTGGGGAGGGCCATGAGCAGGTATTCCATGTTCCTCAGCCCATCGAGCTCCAGCTTGTTCGATGGTGGGTAACAAAGCTTCTACAGTGATAGGTTGGTTTCGTGGTGTGAATAAATTAAATTGTATTCCCCTATCTCCTTGGAAGTAACCCGTGTGTGTTTTACGGGTTCTTGTTCGGGTCCTGATAGGAAGTAACATTGTTTGGTCTATTGATGTTTTTACCTTCTTAGTCTTTCTCTCTCGATAAGCGAAATCCCAGGTCTGGCAGTTATGATAGATGACTCTTAAAGCAATACGTCTTGGCTGTGATCGTCT